CACAAGGGTGAAGGGGGTGATAACGACAGTGTGGAGTGTAAAGGGTTTTCATGAATGCCGCTCGAAGGGGCACACAACACTGCATTAGTAATAAGCACGGTAAAAACTGTGACAGGTAAGGCATGATAGAAGGATATAGCAAAGGTGAATAGGCCAGGGCAGAAGGTGAGATACCATAACTGCTTAGCACACGTTTGGTCAAAGGATGGGCTTCACTTGTCCATTTGACGAGTTGTAATATGGTGCTACGAATGGTGAGACTCACTGATGATGCCGACTACGATGCTGGCGAAACGTCTGGGAATGTACCGCGTTCACGGTCCGACTTTGGAAATAATTATGCATAAAATGGACTTAGGACAAGGTGCGTTTCTATAAGTCTTCCTACCAATATGACCAAGTTGCGAAAACAAGGTCAAACAACTTCATAAAATGGACTGAGGACAAGGTGCGTTTCCTATAAGTCTTCCTACCAATATGACCAAGTTGCGAAAACAAGGTCAAACAACTCGACAAGGTGCGTTTCTATCAGTCTTCCTACCATTATGACCAAGTTGCGAAAACAAGGTCAAACAACTTCTTATACGATGCGTTTCTATAAGTCTTCCTACCATTATGACCAAGTTGCGAAAACAAGGTCAAACAACTTCTATACAACCAGGAGACTGCGACCACAAAAAAGACCACACCATCTTGGTCTTCATACTTAAAATAACAAATAGTTGGGATTCCCAAAGATAAGTTTTTAATCTTTTGAAATAAAAAAATTAGCTCTTTTAAATGGAACCGCCATCCATGATCTTTTAATATTTTCTATTTTTCCTGAAAGCAAAATAATTTCGCTTATTGAATAATAGACAAAGAGCAAATAAAGATAGTGTTATCAAAAAATCGAAATCTCACAATGACAATCGGCATCATATAAAGCAAGTATTCGATGTCGTGTGTTAACTTGTAGTCGCGCCAAACCTGCAAGACGAACTTAGGATTCAGATCCTTCCAGTTGTCAGTAGGAAACATGATGTAGGCATTCGATCGCCGCCAAGGCTCATCTTCGGGGTCACCAGAGTCATGAACCATGCAGATTCGTGAACTGCGTGAGAGGTTACAGCCCGAGAAGACAAAGTATGTACGTTCAGAGTCTTCCGCCACGCAAAGGTCTGCACAGTCCAAGTTGAGTGAAAGCTGTAGTTTCGGCCAAAGAATTATAAATGCCCATGAAGCATAATGGTGAACGTCATATGTATTATACATACGGTATTCGTGCCCTGGGTGTTAGAAAATATCAGAATTAGAGTAAGAGAAGGATAATCTCACAGATAATAAACCTAGCATCTAAATATGTTAGTAAATAAGTGTTGATTAGTGCGAATCAGCACATCGACCCACGACCCGGATAAAATCCGTGCTGTGCTTTCAACTGTCGTGTGACATACATGATTAGAGCGTGAAAATACGCCGTACGAAAGTTTACAAAGAACTAATAGAAGGGGACCGGTTTCAATAGTTTTAATCGGTTTTTGACATGATAGAATGTTGAGATCGGATTCACCAGTTGCATGAAGGTATGCTGAAGTCACAATCAGAACTTCATGTGAGGCCAATATGAAAATACCTTCCAGTCACTGTTTCTAGCGGAATAAAAGGTAAAACAACATGAATTTAGCAAGCTTATCTACATATCATGAGAAATAAGGCTTGGAGTAGAATGGATACGATGAACAGACCTGAGTGAAATCCGTCAACGAATAAGACATAAAATCGATCTCAGGGGTCATAAAGCAGATTCTGATGAGTTGAATGATGTGGTTTGTAGAATTAAAGGGCCAACAACCTTACCATGATTGACAAACCGTTATTGACCTTATACCTTTGGTCTCCTCTACATCTCTCAATTGTATCTGTAGTCGAACTGGCACTGCCCTGCCATTAATAGTTCGTGATATTTGTGGCTATCCATATCCACGCCACCTTGTTCTTCAACCCACATAAGGTTGTTTTCTCGGATTGATCGCATTCTGCTATTTAGAATCTCTCCGTATCCATTTTTCCTAGATGTTACTTGATTCGTATTCTGATTTTTCTTTCCATTTCGTCAATATACTTCTGCTACATGTCGCAGCAAGTTATGCAATAAAATTCAAATAAATTCAGTTTGTTTATCTTTCCATATAGCACGAGTAAATATGAACAGTAAAGAATGATGTCGTATTTTTCGCCATCGCTACCAGAATATGTGACACTTAATATCGGTAAGAGGCCAGATCATCAGGATCTTAACGTGCGATAAACT